AAATAGAGAGGGAGAGAGAGAGAGAAAAAGAAATAGAGAGGGAGAGAGAGAGAGAAAAAGAAATAGAGAGAGAGAGAGAGACGATAGAGAATGTAACGAAAAAGCTCTTATCTGTTTTATTTTTATCTGTTATAGTTAACATATAAACGCACGCACATGTAATCATGTTTTTTTACGTCTTAATTTTTACGCTTACGCTCTGCAACATAAACTTTACTTCAACACTATCAGTACAAAATACCATCTATACCGAGCTATTCATTAGCTTCACGGCCGCACGATGGCGCCACACGCACGCCTACCTAAAGCTCTCCTGTCTGAACACGCCGCTTTCGCTGTCGGACAAGTCCGAGTCGGCAGACGACACGTCCAGCCGGTCCAGCGCCCCCTGGCGGTCCGAATCGAGCCGCAACGACTTCCTCCGGCGCGCGTCGATGGAGGGCGCCACGGGCGCGTCGTCGTCGCGGAAGAAGAATCGGTCGGCGACGTCGCGGTCGCGTCGCGAGAACGCGTCCTTCACGCGACCCCAGTACGAGTTGCGTCTCTTCATCTCGCCCAACTCGAACGACCGGCTCCGCATCGCCGCCTGCCGCCGCGGCACCCTCCGGTGGCGACGCTTCGCCGCCGCCGCCGCCGACACGTCGGGCGCGCTCGCCGCGATGACGGCCACCGACGGTGGCGCCCTCTGTGTGAGCACGTGGCAGCGGCAGGAGGCGAGGAGGTAATCGCTGTACATCTGCTGCAGGGAGCGCATGTCCTGCAGGAACGCGACCCGCGCTCGCATGCGGGAGTCGCGCAGACGCGCTCGCGCCAGCTGATCGACAAGCCGCGACAGATTCACCAGCTGATCGACGCCGCTAGGGGGCGCCGGCGGTGGCGACGGCGCCCGCGAGGGGGCGCTGAGCGTGACGACGTAGCGCATGAATGCGTTCTCGATGTCGACGGAGCGAGCGAGCGCTGCTTCCGGAGACATCAACGCCGCGTCCGTCTGCAAGCTGACGTCACGTAGAGTTGTCACGGCAACCGCGCGCACCTCCGCTCCTCCCGCCTCCGTCCCGCCGCCGTCGCACAACCTTTGACCGTGGGCGGTGACCTTGGGCGGGAACTCGGGCGCCTGCTCTCCGCTCACGTGTTCGGCGGTCTGCCAGGCGCGCTGGCGGTTGTGGTAGCAGAAGACTGATGCGAGGTACTCCTGCTCTTGGCGGATGACGCCCGCATGCTCCATGGCGACGGCGTCTCTCTGCTGACCGACGACCGTCGGCGCCGACATCGAGCGACGAAACGACGACGTCATCGTCGCCGCATCACCGCCAGGCTGCGTCCTCCTCCTCCTCCTCCTCCTCCTCCTCCTCCTCCTCTCTTCCTTCGCCTTGTCCTCCTCCTGCTGATGGTTCCTCTCCACGTTCGAGTATCACAGATTTCGCTTGTGCTGCCGCTTACGTACTGTAACGAAGCGAGGTGACGTCACGCATCTGTGTGCACAGTTAACGGTGACGTTCATCGTTTTTCCCCCGCGTTCGAAACGGCGATCGAAATTACAAATAGAAATAAACGATTGCGTATACCGACGGGTAGAAAGAGAAATTTTACAATTAAGAACAGATAAACTAAGAAATAAAAATAAAAATGAATTAAAAACAAAACAAATAAACTAAAAAAAACAGCGATGGCGAAATGGCAATCTGCAAATATAAAGACAGTTTTAAATAGGAAATAGAAAGTTTTAATCGCGAACTGGAAGATTTACGGCTGGGATTGTATTTAACGATAAAAAAAGGCTTTAATGTGAGATCGGTGGCTCGTAACTGTGGCAACGTAAAACACACGCAGAGCGTAAACACATTCACATACAGGCCAATCACATCACACACAGGCAGCCTTACGACACGCAAAAAAACTCCGCTATTCTAAGACACACATTAAACACAGCAACGACACGTCGTTAACGTTTAAGCATGTCTGCTGCCGCCTTTACATAGTAACAACGACCAGCGGAAGTTGTGTTGCAACGCTGACCCACCCATTACATAGTAACAACGAGCAGCGGAAGTCGTGTTGCAACGCTGGTCGATGACAATGATGTAATAGGGGAAGGCAAACCATTATCCTAAGCGGGGGTGGTGGTCAGAGGGGCGATGTGTTAATATGGAAAGGTGTACGGCGCTAGCGTAATTCGGAGAGTGATGATAGGAAGGGACGTAAAGGTGGGGGTGGAAAGGAGCCAGGGAAGAAAGGACGTCGATAGAAGGCCGGTAACAGTGTCATAAATTTATATGATTACCAAAGCTTATATATAAAATTCGGCAATAAATAATAATAATATAAATAATAATAATAATAACTAATAATAATAATAATATTAATAATAATGATAGCATTATTATTATTTTTATTATTATTAAAGAAGTACTTAGCAAGGTAACTAGGTAAGGTAAGAGTAGCAAAGGTAAAACCCCGTGTCACGTGTGTGCGGCCGCCATCTTGCAGTCCGCAGCAGGCAGGCAGACGAACGACGACGACGAGGGCGAGAGGCGGGATCGCGAGCGCCGCCACACGGCCTGCGAGGGGTGGCGCCTCTGACGCGCCGACGCTCGTAACAGCGACTGAAACCAGCGCGAAGTCTCCTGCTTGCTCAGCGCAAGAGCTGGCCCGTGCACGACGCCC